GACAGGAGTGGCGGAAACAATAACAATTGTGACCGGAAGCACTGCTGGGGCTTCCAGTCCTTGAGAACTGGGGATGGATCCAGCTGAGGCATTGCACACAACTGGGTTGAATTAGGACTGGAGTTGGTGTTATTGCTTTCCGGCACGGATGCCAGAAACAACAACAACAACGTTGTGACCGGAATCTCCTTCCAGTCCGTAAAACACTGGAACTGATACTGAAACTGCATGGAGATGCTGGGGAATCTTCTTTAAAACTGAGTATGATGTAGCATATACTCCAGGCGTTGTTCGGCAAAGGAAAGGTCTTGGTTGAATACTGGGGGCCGGGGTTGGTGTTATTGCATTCTGGCACGAATGTCAGAAACAACAACAACAACCAGACCGGAAAACTCATCCGGTCCGTGAAATACTGGAAAGGAACTGCATGGAGATGCTGGGGAATCTTCTTTAAAACTGAGTATGATGTAGCATATACTCCAGGCGTTGTTCTTCAAAGGAAAGGTCTTGGTTGAATTCTGGGGGCTGGGGTTGGTGTTATTGCTTTCCGGCGCAAACGTTGGAAACAACAACAACCAGACCGGAAAACTCATCCGGGCCGTGAAATACTGGAAAGGAACTGCATGGGGATGCAGGGGAAGCTTCTTTAAACACTGAGTATGATGTGGCATATACTCCAGGCATTGTTCTTCAAAGGAAAGGTTGTGGTTGAATATTGGGGACTGGGGTTGGTCTTATTGCTTTCCGGCACGAACGTCGGAAACAACAACAACTTCAACACCGGAAGATACCATATGGTGCTTCTGGAGGAACAGGGGATTTAGCTGTGGTAAACCACCATCAGCTGATGGATGTATTTGGAATTGTCTTGGTTACATTGCTTGTTTGCTGCTTGAATGGAGCCAGGGAGGAGGATTTTCCCCTTCCGAAGGGGATGTCACCATGGTGGGGTCTTCAGAATTCGGAAGCCGGAAGGAGCTTGTCAGGTAGGAATGTACGTAGGACGAAGCAGTAGGAATTCTAGGTGATAATTTTCATAAGTGAAGTGTAATTTTGTGCGTTTGAAAAATTTGATTTGAAAAATATCGTACCAAGGATCCTAAGAGGTCCAAGATACGAGGTACAAGAATACCTCACGAAGAACAGAGATGTCACGAGTCCGGAATAGAAGAACCTTCATGTAGATTCACTACCAGATCTACATGAGGATCTGATCAGAACTTCAGAACTCTCGTGAACGGGCTCGATAATCTTAATCTTATAATTTCAATTTTATACACACTTAAACATACTAAGAGTACACGCATCTCGTGCACAGTAATTACTACTACCCGGTTTTCGTGTATCGAAATAAATCATCCTTAAGAAAAACAACCAAAATAATACATCGACCATGGTGAAATCAACCAAGAACAACTCATCCTCTACCAAACAACATCGACAACATTCACACCAATCCTGTCTCAGCCTTACAAACAGCTTTGATCCAGCCCAGTTGAAAACAGTCTTGATGACCATGAATCTCAGAAATCCAGTAAGAACGCTAAACAAGACCTGCTTAACCTTCACTGGGGAACATGGAGTACAAGAACTGTTTCATGTGCAAGAAGATTTTGAAGATGCAATATTGGACTTGGAAATACCGGAGGATAAAATAGATCAGAAGTGGCAAATGGTCCTGGCGCATAGGCCCAGACAGAAATGGAATAGCATGTGGAACAACAACAGATTACCAGAAGTATCAAGAGATAGCTTGGCACAATGGAAGATAGCCCTCCTTACCTTCAGGAAGTTCTATGCACCATCCAAGTATGCTAGGGATGATGTTGTGGAATATTTGGAATCGGACTCTATCAGGAAGCCTCATGCGGTCTCCTGTGAAGCCCATGCTGACAGAGTTCAAACCTGTTGTGCCAGAGCCAACATCCTTCATGGCATCCGGGAACCTTTATCAGACAGAGAGATCAAAAAGATTCTCTTTAGATCCTTCCCCAAATCCTGGCAGAATGACTATATAAAGTGTGGGAGAGATATCATGAGGGACACGATTGAAGAGATTGTGGAATACATGACAGACCAAAAAGGAAT